TTTATTATAACTGTTGTTATTTATTATAACTGTTGTTATATTTAGTATAACTGTTGTTATTATAACTGTTGTTATATTTAGTATAACTGTTGTTATTTATTATAACTGTTGTTATATTTAGTATAACTGTTTGTTATTTATTATAACTGTTGTTATTTATTATAACTGTTGTTATATTTAGTATAACTGTTGTTATATTTAGTATAACTGTTATTTATTATAAATGTTGTTATTTAGTATAAGTGTTGTTATATTTAGTATAACTGTTGTTATATTTAGTATAAGTGTTGTTATATTTAGTATAACTGTTTGTTATTTATTATAACTGTTGTTATTTATTATAACTGTTGTTATATTTAGTATAAGTGTTGTTATATTTAGTATAACTGTTGTTATTTATTATAACTGTTGTTATTTATTATAACTGTTGTTATATTTAGTATAAGTGTTGTTATATTTAGTATAACTGTTGTTATATTTAGTATAAGTGTTGTTATATTTAGTATAACTGTTGTTATTTATTATAACTGTTGTTAGAGCAGATAAACTTTGGACTGCAGCCCCATGGAGTGTGCATGTGTCACTTCACACTTGGAGCATCTCACTCTTCCGTGGGGGGTTCCTCTGAAAACTCCACTCTGAGACCTGGACTCAGAAACCTTCAGCCTCAGAGAGGATGAGGACGTTGTCTGTAAATGAACGTTTCACGTCGTGTAAACGGGGCCTCAGACTGGCTGCCCTGTCTGTCAGTCAAGAGACACATTTCAGAGATGATGATCGCTGACGTCTAGTGTTTAATGCCGTGACTTCTACCCAGAATACCTTTGGATCGACCAGTAGATCACCATCGACGTGTTGGGCAACCCTGCTGTAGATTATCAGATGGTCTCAGACCAGGAATATGTCTCAGATTAAAGACAGCTGGGCTCCAAACACTTCAAGTGAAAGCTGGACATGCTGTCGTCTCCAGACGAAACAACCGGACCAAATCCAGCAGAAGAGTCTCTGAAAGACCCGTGGTGTCTCCTGAATGGACAAAATACTGAGCTACATGACGATGGACTCCGGACCCCTCCCTCCCTGACTGACCGACTCTGGGCCCCTCCCTCCTTGTCTGACCGACTCCGGACCCCTCCCTGACTGACTGACTACGGACCCCTCCCTCCCTGACTGACCGACTCCGGACCCCTCCCTAACTGACTGACTCTGGACCCCTCCCTCCCTGACTGACCGATTCTGGACCCCTCCCTAACTGACCGACTCTGGACCCCTCCCTCCCTGACTGACCGACTCCGGACCCCTCCCTAACTGACCGACTCTGGACCCCTCCCTCCCTGACTGACCGACTCCGGACCTCTCCCTGACTGACCGATTCTGGACCCCTCCCTGACTGACCGACTCCGGACCCCTCCCTCCCTGACTGACCGACTCCGGGCCCCTCCCTCCTTGCCTGACCTACTCCAAACCCCCCTGACTGACTGACTACGGACCCCTCCCTCCCTGACTGACCGACTCCGGGCCCCTCCCTGACTGACCGACTCCGGGCCCCTCCCTGACTGACCGACTCCGGGCCCCTCCCTGACTGACCGACTCCGGACCCCTCCCTGACTGACCGACTCCGGACCCCTCCATGCCTGACCGACTCCGGACCCCTCCATGCCTGACCGACTCCGGACCCCCCCTGCCGTCACCCCTTTACGCCGTGCTCATCCTCGCTGCATCTCTCGGGGCTGATGGGTAATTTTCCATCTGCTGTGTGCGCTGAACATGGAACATGAGAACCGGGTCAAACATGGGTCCGTTGCGTGTGCGAGGCTCACGGTGATCTTGGTGGCGTTGTTCAGAACACTGATCCACTCCAGCAGGTCCTGCTGGTCGTTGGCCTGCAGATAGATCTTCTTCATGCCCGTGTTGATCACTGCAGACAGACCAGAGAACAGCTGGTTTCTCAGAGATACGAGGACATGCTGCGTTCACGTCCCATCCAGATGCAAACACACGTGCACACGAACACATGCACACACACATCGGGTCATTGTCGTCGGACAGTTTCCTCCTATTGAATGACAAAGAGCTGCGGTTCCACAGAGGAGGAAAAACAAGTAGCACGGGACAAAAGGGAGGAAATGAACTCTATGGACGAGGAAACGAGGGAGGAAGTGGAAGTAAGGACTGAGAGGGGTCTGTGGGGTCTGAGAGGGTCTGGTAAGATCCACATCACATGAGAAAACTGAAACTAGGACTAAAAAAGCTAAAGAAACAGAAACAGGTGTTTGTGGTTAGAGCTCCAGAGAAGGGGAGACGGAGGCAGGAAGGATGAAAACTTACCAAAGCAGAACTCTGCCTTTGGTCTGAGTTTGGAGGCATCACTGACCTGAGCAGGACAAGACAGGAAGACGTTACTGATCCCACAGGAAGAGCCCGTATGAAGACAGAGTCCTGTAGATCACCTATGGACACATCTACTCCCAGAAATGGTCAAATAAAGGATGATCTGTGATCACTTCATCACAGCTCACCTCTGCTTGGAGGAGTTTGGAGATATGTTTGTTTATAAAACCCATGGTTCCTCGCTTGTGTGGAACTGGATCCAGCTCAGAGCAAAGATCCAGCCTTACTCCAGTCCACAATCAAAACTTTAACACTACATTTTTACTAACTCTACCGACAGACATGACCACATCCTCCGTCTATCCTCCTCCACTCATCCGGAGAAAAACACAAATCTTCCTTTTCCTTAGGACACCCACCGCTCCTCCTGGAGAAGCCCAGGTTCTGGGTCTGGCCTGGGGTCTCCCCCAAGCTGGATGTGTCAGAAGCCTTCAGAGGAAGGCGACCAGGAGGCCTCCTGATCCGATGAACTGCCTTCTGAACCCAAATATGAACAGACTAACTTTAAAACAACCAGGAAGTTAAAGACGCAAAGTCCATTAGAGGACTCCCTCTGATGGGTCTGTTAGAGGACTCCGTCTGATGAGTCTGTTAGAGGACTCCGTCTGATGGGTCCATTAGAGGACTCAGTCTGATGGGTCCGTTAGAGGACTCAGTCTGATGAGTCTGTTAGAGGACTCCCTCTGATTGGTCCATTAGAGGACCCTGTCTGATGAGTCTGTTAGAGGACTCCCTCTGATGGATCCATTAGAGGACTCCCTCTGATGAGTCTGTTAGAGGACTCCATCTGATGAGTCCGTTAGAGGACTCTGTCTGAAGAGTCCGTTAGAGGACTCCCTGTGATGGGTCTGTTAGAGGACTCCCTCTGATGAGTCTGTTAGAGGACTCCTTCTGATGAGTCTGTTAGAGGACTCCCTCTGATGAGTCCGTTAGAGGACTCCCTCTGATGGGTCTGTTAGAGGACTCCGTCTGATGGGTCCATTAGAGGACTCCTTCTGATGAGTCTGTTAGAGGACTCCGTCTGATGAGTCTATTAGAGGACTCCGTCTGATGGGTCCCTTAGAGGACTCAGTCTGATGTGTCCCTTAGAGGACTCCATCTGATGGGTCCATTAGAGGACTCCCTCTGATGAGTCTGCTAGAGGACTGTCTGATGAGTCTGTTAGAGGACTCCCTCTGATGGGTCCGTTAAAGAACTCTGACGAGTCTGTTAGAGG